TAATGAAGATCAACTAACTTAAGTTATATCAGCCACCAGCTACCCCAAATAAATGTTTTCTCTTAAATTATGATGGAAGAATCCTAGTCATTTATCTTCAAGTCGAATCTCAGTATCTGTAGTTTCATGCTGATTTGTATTCAATTTGGGTAGAAATGGATAAGAGTGTTTATCTTACATAATAGCTTGCCACAGACTACTAGTTGAATCATGTAGCATATGGAAAATGTGTTTAGCTCCTTGTAGAATTTCACAAACCAAAATAGGTTTCCATTTCTATTCACATGGCTTGTTTACAGTCATTATGAGTGTGTTACTGTGTTGCTTACTAGTTAGAAAAAGCAAATGTTGGCACACTACGGACTCCATTGCATTGGTCTTTAAGAAATATAAATATTGCATGCAGTTAAAAAAAAAACAGTAACCGTACTTCTTGTTATTTAGAACTAAACATTCTTTTCAGGATACTTTTTAATTCTTTCACATTGTCTCTCTTTTAGATATTTTATAGTAGTTATGGCTGAAATTTTATATAAATATAGACCAAATTCATGCTTTAATGAATTGTCATTGAGGGATTAATCCTATACTTTTGTGAGCATCTTTTATTAATATGATCTATCATTAAATTGAATATTAATAATATTTAACATTTAATAACTGTAGAATGTACATGTAGGAATTTTATTTCATGCCAGTAGATTTTGAAAATGTGGAAAAGTCAGTATAAACAGTCACAAATTATTAAACATTCTGCCCATAATATATTAATTGGTCTGGTTCAATTCATTTAAGGGGCAGTCTAGATAACAAAGATTTTAATATTTTTGTAGTATAAACAGTCACAAATTATTAAACATTCTGCCCATAATATATTAATTGGTCTGGTTCAATTCATTTAAGGGGCGGTCTAGATAACAAAGATTTTAATATTTTTGTTTGTTAACATGCTGAGCAATATGCTCTCAAAGAATGGAAGTTTTTGGTACAACTTTTGAAAATAACTATTTCACTCTTAAATTCTTAAATATATCTACCATGAAATGATTTAAAATTAAACACAAAACTGATGAAGTGGAGGCAGAGCACTTAAAACTATTAATACTGTGAAAGATGACTAAATATTTTTATTATACTAATTTAGTTTTTCTTATTAATAAAGAAGTATAAGTTGTCTACAAGGAGTACTTTTTAAATGATTGAATACGATATATATTAAACTTTTTATTGTCCAAATTCTTTAATTATTAAGCCATTTTTTTCTTTATCATATATATATATTTTGTTTATATGGTTCACTATGGATTTAAACATTGTGATAGTTATCATGACACTCAAAACTCACTCCTTTTTTGAAAATGGTAATTAAGAAAGATTACTTTAACATGAAAAAGTAACTTTGTATAGGTTTGTCATGCAGGAGAATACATGCGACTGTCTGAGGCAGTTTTCATGTCCATTTAGGAAAATCCCATGGTTGTATGAAGGTTCCTCTGTATTATTTGGGTTCTTCTGGTTTTTCCCCCCTTAGTGATATAAAACTAATAAAAGTAATACCTATGAGAAGTTTTATTAGGAATTTTCTTTCTAATTTCTTTCTAATTCTTACTTTTTCTTTTTTATTATATCATTTTGATGTAATAAAAACAAGTTTTACACATAAATACACATGTATACATATATAATTACTTACATAATTATGTTAGCATGGTTGAATGGCTTCATCTAACACTCTCTTTAATTTTATGAATACTGTGTGGGAACAGCAGATAACAAATCTGGGAACACAAGGGAAATCTCTATTTTAAAGAGTGTTCTATTTCTGGAATTAGATCCACATTTTTCTCAGAGTACAGCTCATGGCCAGACATTGCTCACAACCCACTTCATTTGGAAGATGTTTTTCTCTCTTTCATAGCCAGGGAATATATGTTTCTTGACTATAAAATTTATACCTGAATTCAAGAATATTTGGAATGGAGAGAGTATCTTTCTTGCACTGCCCAACTTAATTCATACAATGCCAAGTTTATTCATAGGCACAAAAACAGAGTATTGGATTATTCGGGGTAGTTCCTATTTCAAATGATCTGTTTTGAAAAAGAATCATTGAAAAATCTGAGTTCAAGGATCTTCTACCCCACTGCCAACTACCATGTCCTTATCGTCAACTGAAATTTTTCTCCAAAGACACAAATTTGTTTTGTCTTAAAGTAGTTAATGTTTAAAATGCAAAATAGCCTGAATTGATGTAATTTACACATGTGTTATTGAGGATCTAACAAAATTCCCATCACTGAACTAAGCTTGATAAAAGTTTTAATAAATTAAACCACCATGATTAACTACCTCCTATTTTCACAACACTGAATTAGACCTGATGAAGAAGTAACATTTCTCAACCTTGATATGTAAAACAGTGATATTGTAACATATCCTTGAAAGTATAGAGATCAGGATCTCACAAGAGAGAAGAAAAGATACTGACAAGGTGGAGAAATGAAACATCAGAAGCCAATTGGATATGTAAGGAAGAAAGATGATTTGCAGAGTCCTGGCATTAGTGAATAAGGGGATTTCAGTGCTCATTCACCATCACAGAGTACAGCATAGGAGGTTCAGGAGAAGCTGAAGTAGAGGTGCTTTGATAAGATAGGAAACATGATCTAGAACTCTATGTAAAACAGAGGTTAGCACCAGGGAAAAGTATCAACTAAATCCTGCTCTGTGGCCCTTAGTCCTGCTTTTCAAACTTAGCTATCACTGTATAACTTTCATCTTTGTCACTTTTCATCTGGACTAAGTGGTTTTTCCAGATTTATATTACAACCAAAGTAATTACTCCAAAATAAAAAACTCACAACCTTTTTCTTTTGCCTAGAACATTCTTTTGGTTTCCAAATGCCCATAAAAAAAGTATAGTCCCTTTAACATGACGTGGAGGGCCGTGTGTGACGGTCACAGCTGGCCCTCCTGTCTCTTCTCCTGGGGCTACTGGGGCCTTGTGCTCTTGTCAGGCAGAAACACTGGCACTGATCCACTGAGAACACTGACCTGTTTTAAAAATTCATGTTTTTGAAAATACTCTTCCTCCTGCACAGGTGCTGTCTCTTCTTTCTATCTTGTTTCCTTTTCTAAACCCTTGTGACTGGTATTCCCATCATCCTGCAAGATGAAATTCAAATATTTTCCATGACAAACTTTTTTCTGACCTTTCCCAGGGACAATCCTTCATCTGTTATTACTGGTCCTTACATGTCTAATAAGGCAATTAGACAACTGTATTTTTGTTATTTACATCTGCCTCTGTTATTAGACCATGCAATTCCAGGTGTTTCAGCTAGTTTGGTTGGGGATAAACCAAATGAGGTGATAATCCATAGTTTTCTGCCAAAATGCATCTCTTTCTATCAGTGAATAAAGGATTCACTTTAGACTGTCCAAGGCCAAATCCTCTTTCTCAGAAATATGGATAAATTTCAGGACTGCATCTTATTACACACCCCACACTAATGAGAGGATGGTGGTTGAAATGTTAAGTATATACAAAAGAAGAAAGAATATATAATGAATTCCATTACCCAGTTTTAACAATTATTAACTATCAATCTTCTTCCATCCATGCCTCTAGCTCCACTGTCCTTTTTCTTCCCAAATATTTTGAAGCAAATCCCAGACATGATAACTTTGCATTTGCAAGTAATAAACATGTATTTCTATAAGACAAGGACACTTTTTGAAAACACACTGATGATAAAAGTATCATACTTAAAATATTAACAATTCCTTAATATTAACAGATCTTCAATTAGTATTAAATGTAGTACAACTTCTCACTTTTTAAACTGTTTGAATAAAGATCTAGTAAAATCTATGCTTTGTGACTAGTTGATATGTTTCTTTCGGTCTAAAGCAATAGCTCTCAATTAGGTGCAATTTTGCTTTCTAAAGGAAAATTGTGTCAGTCTAAAGATATTTTTGGCTTTCACAACTTCTATGGGCTGAATGTCTCTTTCCTCCCGGAATGTATATGTTAAAATCCTAAACCCAGTGTGATGGTATTTAGATATGGGACCTTTGGAAAGGTATTAAGGTTAGATTAAATTATGTGGATGGGCCCCACATGATGCGATTAATGCCCTCATAAAAAGAGAAGACAAAAGATCTCTCTGTCTCTGTCTCTGTGTCTCTGTCTGTCTGTCTATCTCTCTCTCTCTCTCTGCAAGCACCAGAGAAGGCCTGGTGAGAACATATCCAGGAAAAGGCCTCTCCCCAGGAACCTGACCTCAGGAACCTGACTTTACTGGCATCCTGATCTCAGCCTTCCAGCCTTCAGAACTATGAGAGATTAATGTTTGTTGTTTAAGCCACCCAGTCTCTGGTATTCTCCATAGCAGCCCAACCTGACCGAAGACAATGGCAGCATGGATGCTACTCTCATCTAGTTGGTAGAGGCCAGGGATCCTACAATGTCAGCTTCCACAATGAAAATTATCCAGCCCCAAATGTCAACAATGCATGGTTGTGGAACCCTCAACTAGAGATTCCTCTTACTTACTTGTTTTTAGAAACATTTGTTAAATAAACTAGATCATTTATCTCATAGTTCCCACAGTCTGTGTTTTCTTGATGAAAAACCACTATATCATTTAACATATTTCCCTGTCTCTTTTACTTATTAGCAATTAGATTTAGAAACTTCATCAGATTCAGAGTGAATGTTTTAATCAAAACTACCTTATTCTATTTCATAGATAGTATTGCATACTTCCATCGGAAGACATCTATGTCTGGTTATCTCTCATAGCTAAAGGAAGCTTTTGATGCTCAGTGTCTCTATTCATTAATTCAGTAGAGGTTGAAAATGATGATTCTGCATTTTAACAATTTCTGTTTCCTTTATTATAGACATCACTGTTCCCTGGAAGTATTCATTGCAATGTTTGCTATGAAAATAGAATTGGGTATAAAACACTTACACATTCCATATTTTGTTCTAGAAATATCCTGTACCACCTTGATGAGAAGACAAGCCCATTTTCAATCCTCCTGGAGGCTTGGGAGCACAGCAAGTCACTTGCATCAAATGAGACCCTTCAAGAAGCCCTATCAGAGGTGTTGAACAGCATTAATTCAGCTCAGGTTTACTTCAAAGCAGGACTCGATGTGTTCGAGAGTGTCTTGGTTGGAAAGAACTGAGAAAACTCTCAGCATTTTAAAAAGTTTGTTTACAATTCCTCAAGCAAAAGCTCTAATCTAACCAGATTTTCTAACATTTAAGACTTTTTAGCCCCAATGGCTTTCTATAGAAGTCTAAAGCTATTATTATGTTGTATTTTTTAATGTACATATCAAAAGAGCATTTTGCACATTTAATATTTTTCTTATATCTACATTTATGAATACATAAAAGCAAGTTATTGAAATAATACTTAAGATTTATCTATTAAAAATGAAATCTGCTGTATTTTTATATATATAAAATATTTGGTGTGAAAGTTTCAAGAAGTACTGGACAATCTCTATGCCTATGGATGAAACACACAGGAACAGAAGTTACTCCCTATGTTAGAACTATTAATGACATAGTTTCTGTAATAGAAATGGAGAGTTGGTATGGTTTCAGATTAACTTCACTATTAAGTATTTAATATGAAGATTTCAAGTATTCTGACGGAGTGACTGGTTAACCAAAACCACTTTGAATGTTTCTAGTTTATGAAATGAAGTGCCTGTTCATAACACAACTAGATGTAGTAATACACTGGTTAGGAAATTGTATTTCTTTAAAGTGTTAATGAAAAAAAAAGAGCCTTAAACATTCCAGGGGAAAAAAAAATCTCAAGGTAGCTGCACAGAGCAATTTAAATGTAAATTTTTTTCCTAACAACTTATAAGGTGACTAGCTTTGAAACCCCTAATTTGCCTCAGTTGATTTTATAAAAAATTCAGGAATGATAGATGTCTTACAAGGGAAAAAGTATTTCCTATTGCTTCTGTTGTTTCTGTTGGAAGCACTGAAACCTAGCTACTCTAAAATGAAAGCATATCACATCGCTCTTCCCCCTTGTACTTTTTCTGAAACTCCTTGCTGTAAGGCAGTTTTCACAGAATACCATATAATTTAGACAGGAAAGTAGGAACAGCTCTCTTTGAAAACCCAAGGCATCTTAAAAAGCATCAAATTGCTATCTCTGCCACTGACAGAGAGGATTTGCTAAGAATGAAACAGTTGTTTCGATCAATGAAAAGTCTCTTCATTCTATGAAGAAACGTGATGTTTTTTCCTTCTCTATCCTGGTGATCGAGATGAAAACATAGAAGATATTCATGCTCGTAATTTTATGCAGAAAATACAATGTTACTTTAAAAGTGTGTCTTTCCCATGCTTCAAATCTTCTCTCCTGTGGAGAATGAAGTTTTTCGTGTTGACATTGTCACTGAGTGGCCCTAGCATTCACCCATTCACCCTCCTCTGAAACCCTAGAATTCTGTCTAGATGATAGTTTCAACTTTTAGCTTACCTTTAAAAATGTTCTTCTGATATTGGATAAAGCAATTCCCCTTAGGGAATATATCCTCATAATATTTCATGTGTATTTTCTCTGCCTAACACAACCTTCACCACTTCCGTGCATCATTGCAGACGGTGCCTGTCTGTTTCAGCCCTCTCAGCCCTCACTTTTTATGGATGAGCATAAACCGAATCTTAGTTTAAAGGGAGACTAAAGTTGAGAGGAAAGAATTAATCAGTATCGATTAATTGATTTATAAGGGTCAGCTCTTCCTACCATCAGTGATGTTTATATGGTCTAGGCAAAGAAGAGAATTGAGAGAGTTAGCTAGATAATTCAAGCAGAAATCTATTTTCATTGAAATGCCTCTGTGCACGTATTTCTACATGACAAATGAAACTACCTTACCTTTTTTTTTTTTTTTTTTTTTTTTTTTTTTTTACCAATGTGCTTGCTGGTTTGAAAATGTTTGCCATGATGAGGAGTGTCTACAGGGAAGGACTCAAAGGACCAAGTCTCTGCATGCCTCAGAATCTGTGCTCTGGCTCCACAGAAATCAACAGCACAAAAGACGTGGCAATACACACACAGACATGTGTCGGACCAAATAATAGAATGTTTTATACCAAAGGATCTTAACCATTTAATCAGGCTTCAACGTGTTCATTCCAGTTCTTCATTTGAAGTTGAATTTAAAACAAAGACAAATAATTATCAGTTTGGTAATTCATCACTTTGGAACAAAAGCCTAAGTAAATTCATGCCCTTAGTCTGCAAGATCACTGAAAGCACAAAATGTATCTGTTTGTACATTTTTGTTTAAAGACCGTGAAGTAGGTAAACCACATTACACAGATAAAATTATCCATGTTATGTGTTCTTCCCTTCTAAATTATATGGTATTCACTATTTGAAAACTGAAGTTAACTATGGACTAACATGGTTTTATTAGTCTATTTAAGAGATTGTGAAGAAACCAAATTATAATTAAAACAGATCCGCCAATTCTATAGATGCTGCTCTGCATCTTTGACCGCAACAGACCTCTTACTAGAACATTACTTCTATGGTATGATTACCTCAGGGTTCCTCCAAATGTGTATCATTTTAATTTTTTCCCCAATAGATCCAAGTAAATAAAACCCTCCACAAGTTACCAAGTGTTTTCAGTGAATTAGTAGTAGGTTTAAATTGTTGCTGAGATATCTGGTGCCTGCTAGTTCTCATAATCCTTGATACATAGGATTGTGTCAGGACATAATAAATCAGAAACAGTTATTCTTCCAAGAACATGTGGCAAATGTGCACGCTGGAAATTCGGGGTCAGGATGGCTTTGCAGAATCTGGAGTCAAAAGAAAGCTTAAGAGACATTGTCATATAAGCCCTAGGATGTTACCTTCAGCCAGGGCCAGTGTCACCACCCCCATCAGATGCAGCAAATGAAACCAGAGTGATTAAGGAATTTGCATACGGTCACATATTTGGTTGGTAGCAAAAGCATTCCTGAAATTTAAGCTTCTCTGTGTTCTCATGCAGTATATCCAGCTCTTTCCCTAAGGTGCTAGGATTATAAATGATCATTCCCAGTGCATTCTGTGTCACCAGCCATTCTGTCAGTTGCTGCATAGAATGGAATCACTGCTTTTAATTAAGGACTAGCTCATTCTCTGACTATACCTGACAAATCATCTGTCCCAGGGAATCCCAGCAAAGGACACCAAGACCGGGTACTTGGGGAGAAGAGGGGAGAGTCTCTATATGACACCAGCAGTCAGGAGGGGGTACTGAATTCGATGCTTTTATGAGAGGACATTTTAGCTCTATATTAAGTCAGCAATCTGAATCAGTGTTTGTCAAAATGTGGATTTGGGGGAGAGAAACCCAGGAATCTCCAACCTCAACAAGATTTCCCAGATGAAATTCATGCACACTGAAGTTTAAAAATTTCTAATCTCTATTAATCCTGAGTCGTGAGAAAACATCACTTGAAAATGCAACTAAACCAAATGAGTTGCAATAATGAGCAGGACTTTAAAGCTTTGCTATTCATGGCAATTTTTCTTTTTTTTAAAAGAAAACTTTTAAAAACTTTTCTTTTTTAAAACACACAGTGGTCTCAAAGAAGGATGCAGAAATAACTAACATCAGTGCCCCTGCCACATGTCAGACTGGACTTTTTTCACATATTTGTTTTTTTCAAACTGAATCCCCACAATAACCCATTTAAAAAATGAGTAAACTTCTTTGAGTGACTTGTGCAAAGTTCTACAGCTAGTGGCTGAGGTATGTTTGTGCTGGGTCCTCTGTTGTACAGCCCTGTGTTCTTCACACTGAGTCCTACAGGAAACACCAGAAGAATCTTTTGGTTATAGAAAACAATACAATTGAAAACTTTAATACATTTCCGCTTAACTGATCAGATGTATAAAGTCTGCCACTTTACTGGTTTAATGAAGGAATTTAAAGAAAGAAATTATTCCTTATAATAGCTCCCACCCCCAACAATGGTGTATATATGTAGATAAATCTGAAGATATCAATAAAAGCATTAAAAATAAGTGCATCATTGTAGAATATCATAACTAGATGTAAAGTAGTAAAAAGAAACCAGCAGCCACATATCTCACAATTTCCTCTTCAAAATGCCTATATAATTACACTAGAAGAAAAAAAGAGCAGGTGCTGGGATTTACAACCACAGTTTTACATCACCTTAAGAAGAGTAACAAATTGACTCTGTCAATTACATAAATATATACCATTCTGTAGGTTTCCCCATTGGAAAGATAGGTGTTACCAAAAGAAAATAAACAATAATGAGTTGCCATCTGCTCAATGATGAATCAGCATCTTTGCCTCAAATGAAACACTGTAATTATCTGCACAATAAATTGGTAGACCTAGCCAAAAATGTTCTCAGGAGACATTCTGTGGAATGTGTAATTAATTACTCCAAAAATTAAGCTTTCTCTTAGGATAGCACATTGTCATCTCACTGGTTTAATAGGTTATTTAAATGTGCCTTAGCCATACATTCCCTTAACAGAAAGGAATTATTTTAAACTGCCAACCTATGTGTTTAGTAGAAGGGAGATGGGGCCACATAATCCAGTGAATATATCAGCAACATAACAGTTCCATCACGGAAGCATGGATGCAACCCAGGGGAAAAACAAATGATGTGCTATTTGAGAAAAGAAATATTCTGCCTAGCTGCACTAGTGAGTCTGTATTTCTTGCATGAGTTTAAATTGCTAGCTTCAAAAAGCCTCATTAGAATCTGCTATTCTGAAAGATTTTAAAGAACTTCACAGAGTTCTAAGCACCCCATTAAGTGCAAATGCTTTTTAGTTAAGTGAGTTGTTGTATGCAATTCAGAATTTGAAGTGACAAGAATTTGAAATAAGAAAATTCTAAAATATGGACTTTTTTTATTGTGACCATGTCCACTCAATTTTCTGTTTTCTCTTTCTAGATACACTCTAGCAATGGGATTAGTCATGTAATTTTTTTTTTCTCTGAGGAAGTAAATGTGAAGATCTGTTCATCTCAATATACATTGATCTGTTAATCAGCCAGTTTTATTTCTGATACCTTTCATTATCCTTCAAAGATTCACACTGAAGTGGCTTTAGCATACCTGGCACTGCTAAGAATCTTGAGACCTTGCTTCATTGCTTATTATGAGCTGATTTATATCTTAAAGACATTCATAATCTCATATTCAGATTGTATCTGAATTTACAAAGCAAAGGATTAAATTGAGGCACTTTCAGATAGCATTCAAGAAAAATCAGCTCCTTCAAATTTTAATATGTTTTTGGTTAGATTATTTGTGTTGGGGTTATATAAATAATTTTCTGTAACCAAAATGGTAGTTTTGATGTTTCCTGTTAAAATCCTGTCATTGAAGCCAAAGAAATGCATTCCTACTCTAATTTCTTAAGCAGGATTCTGTCAAGAGTTAACTCAGGAGCAGTTGATTCAGTGCCTACATCTAGACAAAGCTTTAATGAGTCTAGACAGAGCCCAACAGTATTCGAGCTACTTCCTTTGATGTCTTAAGCCAAAAAGCACTGAGGTAGCTTTTCTCAGAAGTAAACAGATTTTATTTTCCAGGGGCTAATTAATATGCATCACCTCAGTTCCCAGAGGATCACACAGGTGCCTGTACTATGCCATATGTCATGTGCTATATTCCAGCAAGCTCAAGAGATTAATATACAATCATTATTATGAATTATTATGTTGCATTGAAGTTAATGTCGGTCTTTTGTTCTAATTAAAGTATAGACTTGGCATCTGAATGGAAGCTTAGCTAGAGAAGTGGAGTTTGAGCCTCTATTTTAATGAACTACATGTATTTTTCAATCAAAATATGTAATTATTTAATTATCTAGCCTGCTCAGTAAGTATATAATTCTTTCTTCAAAGAATCTGTATTCAGTGTGTTACTATGCAGATGGACACTACTTGGAGTATATTTAAGCTTTTGAAATTCTTGGCCATTGTTGAATCATGCTTTCAGTATATGCAGTACTGTTTTATTCATATGAATAATTATTATCTGTTTACTTTTCTATCAAGCTGCTGCAAATGGACTACCTTATTCTGAAAGAAAAAAATGCTATTACTCTATAAAGACAATTTTATCATATCTGTTTTATGAGAAACAAACACAAAAACAAAAATATTTTACTATACCATTGCAAGTTGTCTGCAGATGCCCAGATGGTTAAGTGTAGCTCACATAATTATATTCCAAAGATGTTATAAATAATTCCATTTAGAAGCTGAGATAGGACTCTTATTAGGTGATTTAGCATTTACATTTCACACAGAAAGATTTGATGGCAAATATTTCACACACATTCTAACTTGCTACTTGGAAATATAAATGTAATTGTATTCAGAAGAGAGAAAAGCTTTCTAATATACTTTAAAGGGTTAATTTGTTTTTATAGACATCTAGAAAAATCAGCCCTTCACTTTGAGAGTAGTTTCACATGTGTTTGGAATGTTACTATATACCATGTATTGTTTTAATCATTTCTGCAGTGTGTAATATTTAGATACATGAATTTTAATAATAAATAAACTTTCTCAATCATGTAACAATAAAAAGTATAGCCCTAAAATACAGAATGTTGTTGAGCATGAGATTTATAAATTAATTTAGGATAAAATTTAGATGACAGTCTGTCCAATTAAATTTGCTTTGATTAAAAGCAAATCTCAAAGGTGTCCCAATTACTAAATCACATTGAACTGTTATAATGTTGAATATTGTTCAAAATAATTTCATTATCATCTATGATTCGGAGATCTTTTCATTGTACAGATTTCATTGTCATTGTCTGTCATGATTGAATTTAATGACATTGATTTTCAGGCATATGTGTGTAGTGTTTTTAATTGTTATATAGGATTG